CCCCCCCCCCCCCCCCTCCCCCCCGCTCTCTAACGACGGAGCCGTTTGTAGAAGTGAGGAATATTTTTAATTGGAGCGCGATCTGCTCCTGTTGTTTAACAGAGGGAAATATATCTACAGATAATGAGAGATCCGGGAGGGCTGAACGAGGCTTTGCTGTTCAGGAACGGAGAGGTGTGTGCCCACCAGGGGTACGTTCTGCGTCCCACCCGAGGGACGGCGTTCTCCTGCAACTTGGGAGCGTTGGAGAAATCTTTGCACTGGGGGCGGGGGCAGATTTCTGCTTCTGAGGGACTGAGGGCCACCAAGCTTTAGGAGCTCACTGCAACGCTGTGATTCTTCTTTTTTTTCTTTCTTTCTTTTTTTTTTTTTTCTTTCTTTTTTTCCCCTTTCGTCTCGTCTTTTCTTTATCTCCCGTTCTCTGCCCGTAGGAGAATGTTTCCTCCGTTTAAAGTGAGATGCACTGGACTGGATAAAAAGGCCAAGTACATTTTATTGATGGATATTGTGGCGGCTGACGACTGTAGATACAAATTCCATAATTCCCGGTGGATGGTAGCAGGCAAAGCTGACCCTGAAATGCCAAAGAGAATGTACATCCACCCGGACAGCCCGGCCACCGGAGAACAATGGATGTCCAAAGTCGTCACCTTTCATAAGCTGAAGCTCACTAACAACATCTCCGACAAGCACGGATTTGTGAGTCCTTTTCCCCTCTCCCCAAGCACTGTTCCCCCGCAGCGCCCGGCCCGGAGCTTTCCCAGGCACTGCAATTCGGGCACCACACGTGTGTGGAAAATGGGGAATAAACAGCCCCTGCATGCAGCCGGCTGGTGTGTTTATGTCCAGTTAAAACGTTCCTTTCTTTTTCTGTTGCCGAGGTCAGGATTAAATGAGAGAATTTATTCTGCAAGCTTTCCAAACACCCAATCCGTACCGTTCAGAATAAACTTTAGAGACACGTTTCCAACATAGTGCAACTCGATATATCTCAGAGCTGCGTTGGCTCGATATATATACACATATGTAATATATTTTTAATAGAGACGATCACACTTTTTAAGCATAGGAAAATGATATGCATATGTGTATAAAGGGCTTAAAGGCCTAAGTATGCAAACATTTAAATATATATTAATCTGGATACCGTAAAGCAAGCCAGAGTGAAAATAAACAGGAACCAAAAGCAAAGGTCAAGTTGCCCATTCATGTCTATCCACTCCTTTACATTTACTGGGTGTGCAGAGATAAAAAGCTCCCCCTGAGAGTGAAATCAAACAAACTGCTGATAAGTGCCCGCCGCTCCTCGCCGTTTCTTTCTATTTCTGGGAAAGTCTGGAGCCGGGGCTGCGGCGGTGGCCGCGGTCGGGGGATCTCTAATGCGCCGAAGATTGCATTCGCCGCCCGTGATTCGATTAGACGATCCGCTCTTGCCTCTCGCAGAAGGCCTTAAGTGGATTGAGGCGAGCAATTAGACCTGACCAAGGCGTTCGTGGTGGCGTTGCTATTGTAGCTCCCGTCTCCGCTTTATTTTTATTTTCTTTTGGTTCGCCTTGTAATCTAAAGCCGTCGCGTCCGAAGCCCAAATAACCCCCGCAGAACCCCTCCCCCCC